CACGCATAACTAAAATGATCTTAAAGTTACGCATTTTTACCATTATATGACGCTATCCCACTTTTCGTACAGTAACTCATTGACAACGCTATGTGAAAACGTAGAATTAGAGTTAACAACGTTAGAATTAGCGTCAGACGCATCGTGGCCTGGGGGAACATGGCCAAATACGCTTTCTGACGATCTGGAGACTCCAAATTTCCAAATTTTCTCAATATTCCCAGTCACATTAAACTGTAAGTAACACTGTCATATTGAATATCAAGCAATAACAAAATTGAGAATATCTGCGCACAAACTACCGGTTGAATCTGGCAGATATACCAAAACACCATACGAAGATCGGTTTTGTACCTTATGTCAATCGAGTGAAATTGGAGATGAATTTCACTACTTATTATCATGCTCCAACCAAAAAATTTCAGAAACTCGAAATATTTTTTTAAACGAGTTATATGGTATCAATAGTTCTTTCCGCCTATTTGGTACAAATAATTTATTCTTATATATTTTTAATATACATGATAAATCTATCATGAAAATAGTAGCAAAATATTTTCATGATATTCTTCTATTATATGATAATCAGTGCATTATGTAATCATGCATATCTTCATTCATGATATAAAAAATGTTAATGCACTTTTTATAATCTTATATCTTATAACAACTATCACATATAGATACGCTTTGTATCTTTTATTGTATGTAATTTCATATGTGCCTGTATTGGTATTTTGATGAATAAAGATTATTATTATTATTATTATTATTATTGATCAGTAGTTATTTTAGTTATCTTCATTGTTAGGCAGTAGTAAAACATTGAAATCTTGGGTAGGAAAGACTCTAAAAATGCTATTTCCGACGGTCTAGAGAATTCAAATTTTCAAAATGTTTTGCTCGGCGCCAACCATGATGGCGCCTCGTGGGCGACGCAAAATCAGGTGAATTGAAACAATTCAGGCGGTAAATCTAACCTCTCCCCCCCCCCGCCAAGGCAAAGTCCTCGCAACGGCCCTGGTCACGGCGGTCACGCATTCTTATCTTTCGACGAACTTGGCAGGTGTGTGGCCATGTAGCACGTAGCCTGTTTAAATGGCCCGGATATTCTATAATTGTACCTAAGGCTAAGCTTTGTTCTAATTATGTTCTAAGCTTGTTCGACGTATATAATTATGATAAGGTTTCTAAAGAACGAAGGTCAGGAATATGGTTGTATTTAATATCATTCATCTTCTATGGCTGTATTTAATATCATACGTGCTCCAATCTTGTTTGGCATATATTATCATGACAAGGTTTCTAAAGAACGAAGGAATATGGTTGTATTTATATCATTCGTGTTCTAAGCTTGATTGGCATGTATTATAATCCAGTTTCATGTTATAATTCATGTTGTGAGCTTGTTTGGCATGTATAATTATGATAAGGTTTCTAAAGAACGAAGAATAATATGGTTCAATGGTTGTATTTAACATCATTCATGTTCTAAGTTTTTTGACGTATATAATTATGATAAAATTTCTAAAGAACGAAGGAATATGGTTGTATTTAATATCATTCATCTTCTAAGCTTGTTTGGCGTATATACATGTAATTGTCGAGGATGGCTAAATGGCGTGGGTGGGTGGGTCGTGCGTCGTGGGTCGTGCGTCGTGGGTACGGTGTTGGGCGTCGCATAGACAATGAAAATATTTTTTAAGACGGATAGACGGCAGACGGACGGACGGACGGATGGATGAGAGGGTAAAAAACGGACGGACAGGAGGGTAAAATGCGGACGGATGAGAGGGTAAAATGCGAACGGACGGTGAGAGGGTAAAATGCGGATATGAAGGCATATAGAGTGGTATTTGTATTTTTCATGCAGAATTAAAATCCCAACCTTTGCAACTTTCATGCTTATTCATTTCTTTGTTATCTGGGTATGTAGTAATTTAATTTTATGCCACTTTAATGTGCTGTTTTTCAAGGGCTTTTTAATGCAGTTATCGGTCCTAAAAGTAACATTCCCGTTGAGATATGACAATTTCAGTACGGCCTACTTTTACGCAAACGCGAATTACCGTGGCAACATTCATGCTTAATTTTCTCTGTTATGTGTGTAGTAATCCAATTTTATGCTACGTACTATAATGTGCTGTTTTTCCAGGGCTTTTCAATGCAGTTATCGGTTTAAATATACCTAAAATTCCCGTTGAGATATGACAATTTCAGTACGGCCTACTTTTACGCAAACGCGAATTACAATGGCAACATTCATGCTTAATTTTCTCTGTTATCTGTGCATGTAGTAATCCAATTTTATGCTACTATAATGTGCTGTTTTTCCAGGGCTTTTCAATGCAGTTATCGGTAAAAATTAAATATACCTAAAATGCCCGTTGAGATATGACAATTTCAGTACGGCCTACTTTTACGCAAACGCGAATTACAATGGCAACATTCATGCTTAATTTTCTCTGTTATCTGTGCATGTAGTAATCCAATTTTATGCTATTATAATGTGCTGTTTTTCAAGCGCTTTTCAATGCAGTTATCGGCTTAAATTTATCTAAAATTCCCGTTGAGATATGCGACAATTTCCGTATATATACGGCCTACTTTTACGCAAACGCGACTGCAATTGCCACTTTCATGATTTCCTCTGTTAAGACTGTTATCCAGTCATGTTGTAATCTAATTTTATGCCATGAGTGTAATTGATGATGATGCCATGAGTGTAATTGGTTTGCATGAGTGCTATTTTTGAAGCAAGGCATTTTTTAATACTGTGGACTGGTGGGGCATTTGCCCCACTGGGCGCCTTCCTCTGCCCCACAACTGAAAAAAAATGGCCTATTGCCCCATAAAGCCAAGTCTCTAGGACTTGTATGAGTAAATGAGTTTAACATAGAAAAAAAGTTTAAAAAACTAAACTTGTTGGTGCAGCATACTAGTAACTGAACTTATGTTGTGTTTGAACTGAACTTATGTTGTGTCCGAACTGAATTTATGTAAGTTGTGTTTGAATGTTTAGTTAGTTGATTAAAACTTTTTTAAAAAATGTGTCCTTTATATAGAATGCACGAAATGCTATTTCAGAGACCCAAATTTTAAAACCATCCCTAGCTAACTCGAGCCTACGGTACTCGGCTCACACCTTCGGCGATCGTATACTATCCTGCATGGGGGAGGACAAGGAGAGAATGGGCCCTTTAGCAATTTTGCCCCACCCTGACTGAAGAATCCTTAAAAAATGTACTGTTTTGAAGGACTTTTCAATGCAGTTATCCGTTTAAACACCTAAAGTTTTGACGAGTTAGTATACCGCCCAGATAACAGACAAAATTAAGCATGAAAGTTGCAATTGTAATTCACGTTTGCGTAAAAGTAGGCCGTACGGTTTTCAAAAAAATGGGGCGACACAGTTTTCAAAAAAATGGAAAATTCACCATTTAGATCGGTATTTTAATAAATTGTCAAAATAATTGAGTATACTCAATAAATTGTCAAAATAATTGAGTATATGTAGTATAAAAGAAACCATTTTATGAAATAAAAATTGGGGGTAGGCTGTTGCGGTATTTGAAAAAAAAACGAAAACCGATAACGGAAAAAAAATACCGATAATACCAATATATCGATATTTTTTCGCGATTGTATTTTGCTTAATTTTATGCAAAATTTT